GCTGCCTGGCCAGCTCGGAGTCCCGACCCTCTGAAAAGACCTCAGAGGCCACTCACCCCTTCACTGCACAGGATGTGGACCAGGAGGCCATTCCCGCACCCCAAGTCCACAAAGGACTGCCTGGCACTCATGCCCCTCTCGGCTCGCTCCTCTTCCCACAGGATCTGAGGCAAGGAAAGGCACAGCAGAGCCAGCTGCTAACTCACCCTGCTCCGGGGAGACCCAGACACGGACCCCACTGGGCCGACAGACAGCACTGCAGGGGAGGCCCCGGGCCTCCGGCAGGTGACTCAGGCAGAGCTGGCCTCCACTGAGGGGACGCTGGGCCCAGCCACCAGGGTGCTGAAGGTACTCTGTTCATGAGAGTCCACGTTCAGGGCCAGGTGCAGCTGAGTATTAGAACACACGCCCAGCCATTCCGAGCACCGCCCCACCCCACCCCTTCTCCCCGTACCCCACTCCACCCTACTCCAACCCCAACAAAAGAGAAAAAGAGGCCACACTCAAGTGGCAATCTGGGGGCATGACTTTCTGGTCAGGATAACTTCTTCATGCTTCCTCTGTATCCTTCAAGCAAAGATACAATTTCTAAACCATCCGAGAAAAATTCCAATTGAAGGGAAAACAGAAATTACATAGTCCAAACATCTGGCACACAAGACAGTCGATGGCACTGAGTTCAAGGCCACGGCGAGGGCGGGCCTGGGACACAGACTGAGGCACACACTCCTCTGCTCCCCGCAGGCGCTGTGAAGCACAGTCCAGCCTGCATCCTTACAGAGCAGCCGCACAACTCAAATCTGAGTTGCACATACACGTGGCAAAGTAAAACCAGCACACCCTAACCAACTCGGGCAAGGGGACGGTGACAGGCACAGGAGAGTTGGGGACTGTCCTTCACTACGAGTGGCCCCCACCAGCAGCGACCTTCATGCACCCCACGTAAGTGTGAACACTACATATGTTCTTACCAGCAGGTACGTAGCGATAGCCACGTCTTCATACACAAACTTCTCAGGATCAGTTACCTCAGGCCACACCTGAAAGGTTTTCGAGAGCAAACGTGCACCACACCGTTACTGTTTCCCACTACTTCACAAGGCTTAAGCACCCCACGCGTAACTCAAGCCACACGCCAAAATAAAAACTGCAAGCTCCTTCCAAAAGCGCAAGCTTATAGCTGATTTCGCACGCTAAGATATAAAGGCACAGAAAAGACCACGCCATGCGTGCAATAGGGCGTGTCCGTGCTCTGCGATGCAGGCGTGAAGCCCAGGCCTAAGAGGATGGTCTAGGCGCTCACAGGCGCATCTAGCCTGCTGCTAGAACCTCGAGCGTGCAGAGCGGGCGCCTGGCAGAAGGGTGAAGCCAGAGCCAAGCAGAAGGCGGAGACTCATTTCCTGCGACGCGCATGACACAACGCAGACGACAATGGCACTGCGAGCCACAGGAAAGCCCTACAAATGTCTGCAGCTCCTTGAAGGTGCTGAGCAGCGCGCAGGCCTGTGGAGACCACTGCAGCACAGGCTGGGAGAGCAGCACCAGCGGCAGGCACCCCACTAAAGACGAGGTTATCGTGAAAGTTACTTCCTTTTGGAAGTATA